GAAATAAACCATATGACTTCAATTGTCAATTTAACAATGAATATGAATATGAGAAGAATGTCAACTTCAAACGAAATTGATGAAGAAAAAAACACTTGAAGTAAATGTGTTCCTTGACCTTTGTCTTACCAGTGCTTTAATTGATTCATCGATAACAATCTCGTTAAGAAAAAAAAAAATGCTAAAATCAATTAGATACATAATCTATTGTGTAAGAACAGATAATGAACATATGTTTTAACTGACTAAAACAACACAGAACTATCACGAAATGTCTGAAGTCACTGAAAAACAAAATTATAATCTGATGAAAAAAACAAAACTTCGAGTTTGATAAACATGATCTAATGTCGATAATCACTTTACTAATCTATGTTAAAGTTCTTTGGATTAGTCCCGGACACGACCGAGTTCGGATTTGAAAATTTTGGATCCCATAAACTCTAATCTATGTACAATTTGATTAAACATGTTAATACAAAACAAGTATATTGCTTTTTTTTTTCTACATCTATACATGTAAATCTATTTCGTTTGTCAAAATGTTGATATGATAATAAAATATAAACAATACCTGAATATTACAAGACACAAACATAATTACAAAAAAAAAAGAGAAAAAAAACAAAAAGAAAGCAAAATCAATATCAATATTATGATTAGATTAAATGAGTTAATGTTGTTGTTGTACTATCAGTATCTTTCCGTGTTGGTGGTGTCCCAGTTGTAACTATTGTACTAGTATTATCATTATTATTGTTAGTTAAGCAAACTGCCGTCGAACTTTGTTGTCGTATATTTTGTATAAGATCCTATAATAACAAATTAATGATTATCATCAGATAAACAACATGTAAGATTATATATTGTCTGTATCATTTTAAATAGTTACATCATATAAACATCTTATGAGCTATTTATCCTTACATATGTTTTATGTCATGCACATGTTCTTCTCAACTATTTACATAAGATATTTTCTTTGTTATAGACAAAATTAAAATTCTGATCTTGGATTAGACATTCATCAGTCAGAATTTGCATTTGAATTTTTGCTTCGGCAATCATTAGAGGTAAATTTATACCATCACGTGCTTTACAAAATGTAGGATAGAATAACAAAAAAAAACCTGTAATTGTAACAATCGTGTCGTGTCAATAAGTGGTAAAAATATAAATATACGCGTTATAATCCAATAAAAAAAAAATTTTCGAATCAAATTCAACAACCGGTCGCATTTACAATTACAAAAAAAAACAGAAGACTTCAATATATATTAAAAGCAAGGATGTTTCAAATTCACAAGGATTCGAGAGTCGATGACTCAGGAGATTGATGGGAAAATTTTCTGGTAAAATTGACCGAATTTTTTTAAGGAAAAACGTATAAAACATTGGAGAACAACAAAAATTTCTCAAGATTGAAGAGTGATCTTCTCCACTCGTGATACCCTTGATTAAAAGGCGTAGCCATCGAAATGAAAATTGCCTACAACATTTATTTTTAATTTGATCTTATCTATTAACAATTTTTTGTTTTTGTACTAGTTCATTTATATTTGATGATAAGCTTTCTAATATATATAAAGTCAAAACAATCAATCATTTTCAAAAACAAAAAGCAACTTCTGTTAATATTAAACTTACTGACGAAAGAGCATCTCCATTAGTTCGTCGTATATGATAAAAATGTCGAAAACGATTACTTTCATCAGGAATAATCTGTCGTCGAAGTGTATCTCGTTCATAATGACGACGAATTTTTTTTAAATTTGCTGTTCTATAATGTTTTCTGCCTGCACTAATAACTAAAATAAAAACAAAAAAAAAAAAATTTTTTTTTTCTTCATATTTGATTTTCTTTAGAGAAAAACAAGTCTCTATATTGTTCATAAACATATCTTTAATGTTCTCTTGTACATCAATCGAAAGATACATTAATTAACTATTCAAGATTATAATGTTATCTTCTATTTCAATGGTAAGTGTACATACACATATCCGGTCATAAAACAAAACAAAAATTTTTCAAGGTCAATGCATTCTCATGATGATAACAAAAAACAGAAAAGAAAAGGGTTCAATTCTCATGAAAAGTAATTAGACATGCTTAAATGAACTAATGATAAATAGATACATATATTTTTTTTTTCATACTTCTATGCCATGAATCTCTATGATCATAATTTTTTCCTGTACATGTATATTGTATGACAATAGAAAATAACATTATAATAGGTAATATAAATACGATAATCCAATGACGTATACATAATAATGGTGTCGTTTCAAATAAAAGACGTTTATGTATATAACGAAGTAAAATTGATAATTGAAGAAAATAATCTAATACAAACATTTGACATACACCAGATAAACATGATGATATTATAATAAGCATAAATTTTTGAAAACGTAATGTTAATATTGAACATATTATACCTAAGATTAATATTAAACCAATAATTAACCAAAATGATGTTATTATACCATTTGTACGATCATTTATATCCCATAAAATAAATGTTATTATTGATATTATTAAACCAAAACAAAAACCATTTATAAATAAACCAACATTTTGTAATAATATATTAATTAAACCAAATAATATAGCTATTGAACATGATATACTTATTAATTGTAATTCATTAAGTGTTGGTTGTATAGATAAAATAATATAAAAAACTAATGAACTAAGACCAAATGATGTTAAAAACATAGTTAAACGCCACCAACGATAACCTACGACAAAAAAAAAAACCCAAGAATTTCAAATTATTTTATACAAAAAAAGAATTTTGTTTTACCAAATATTCCATAAAATAACCCAACACATGCTAACGATATATAAGCAATTAACCAATGTAAATCATAATTTATTGGTAATTTTAATTCACAATATTCATATATCATTCTTGTATTATTTGTTAGATTTTTCATTATGATCTAAAGTAAAAAAAAAGAACTCCAGGACATCTACTTCTTTTACATCAAGGTTAATCGATAAACCAGTATGTCGTGTAATCTTTGAATATATCTCTAATGTGTATATATATACGTAAGATCAAGCAAAAGAAAGAGAGAGAGAAGAAAAAAAAAGAAAGATTAGTAAACACAAATGTTTGATTACATCATTATTGTTTGATCATGAAAAAGACATAATGAAGGAGAAAGAACTAGCAACGAATGACAAACATTATTCTTTTTATGCTATACTTATATTTGAATCTATTCAATGAAAATCATAGTGACTATAGTAACATATTTCCTCTTTTGTCTGCTACTATTAGACAGGCGACAAGATTCATGTCTGATTTTTCTCTCTCTCTCATTTTCTGCCATCGTTTTGCAATAGTCGTTATGAAGGATAGGAAAAAAACTGAGAGAGAGAGAGAGAGAAGAAAGTCAACAATGATCACGAGCAAAAGAACGAAACAGCTGATAGAGTGGTTGACCTCTCTCCCTCTCTCTTATAAAGTTCACATGTATAAAGAAAGTTTCAAATTTGATCATTAGTGTTTAGTTATGTTTTGAAATCTAGTTTCAATATGAGAATATTTCATATGAAGTGTAATTCGAAAGAAACTTTTTTTTATTGTTAATAGAGGAAATAGACAAATTTCCGGACTTGAAAAGGAAGTAGATTAAGAATACATCATTTTGTGATTTTTTAATTTTTTGTTTGAAGAATTAATTGAACAATAAATTATACATCAGCTAGTTTGATATTTTCAATATATATATATATGAGTGATTCTGGTATCTATTGTACCGGGTTTTTTTTTAAAAAATGGTCGAAAAAAAAGTAAACAACTGCACTTAAAAGTGTCATCATTTGATAGAGAATGCCTTGAAGTATAAGAAAAAGTGGTTTTTCAAACTACCAATTTTTTCTTTGATCTCATTTAGAGACCAAAAGGTTTCTAGGAACTTATTTAAAGGATCGTTTATCTTATTTCAGTGAGAGATGATGGTATCTATAGGTAATAATATGATCTCATAGGTTTCAAAACGTTTTCTATCGAGTAACATACCTAGAAGAAGTACAAAAATAGTCAATTTGAAGCAATTTCCTTTTTTCAGATTTTCAGTCGGGTAGAAGAGTAATACCATTTAGACAATGGGCACCACGGTATTTTTTTAATAACTTTCTTCAGGAATGAGTTAGAACCTTGATATTTACAACATAAGCTATGACGACTAATTGCTATTTATGGTGAAAAAAATCAACTCTTAACTCCTTATAGTTCGGTCAGGAGATAGGCATAAGGGGTGGAACAAGTTGTATGTCGTACACCAGTCGATGCCAGTAAGATCTAAATTTTTCAAAAACGACAAAAGGTAGTAACTTGTGATTTTCAGCAGTCGAAAATGACCAAATTAATAAATCTTTTTATGAAAAAAGCTTTGACTTGAAGTGTTTGTTGGCTTCATACTTGAGTCAAAAGGGATGGGACACGGTTTTTTCTGTTGTCTGGAACCATTGACAGAATGACAAATTATTCTGATACAACGACAGCTGAAGTAAAAATAAGGTTATGAATAGATAGAGCAATCAAAAATGATATAAGAAAGCTAATTAAAGATCGTTTACTTTTTTGGTTTGAAGCAAAAAAAAAGAAAGAAAGAAGAAAAGAAAAATATGAGGAACAATCATGAAAACACGTGGAATGAGCAAAAAAACTAGTTTATTTTCTAAACCATTCGTAAACGATAACGATAGAAACCTGATTTTAGCAGTATAAATAGAGCATAGTAGATAGACACTGCAGTATAAATTTCGAGCTATTTTATTGAGTAAGAGCTGAGATATTGATGATGATATCTCTTATGAATAGCACTCAGCTTACTGTTATTATGGTTATTATTCTTCAAACAATTAGTCTTTGAATACAGTAGAATCATGAGAATACGTATATATATATATATATATATATAATACTTGTTAATGTATCAGAACAAATTGAATGAAAATAGATTTGTCCTATATTCAAATAATGGATACTGTCGGTAATAAATGATGTTAAGTAACAAACTCATGATTTTATTTTCCAGTTATCATCAAAAACTTATTTGCATATTTATTTAATCTTACTTTAAATGAAATTAAACAAGGTATATGATCAAATCATTCGTTAATACAATGAAGCATAGTAATCTTTTATCGAAGATCAGAACTTGGGCGGAGAGGGAGGGGAGGTTGAGCGTCGGTTTGAACAACAATCCTTAAATATTCTTACAATAATATTTATATCTATCAATAAACTTTGTTAAAATAAATAAGATCTATTGCCTATGTATATTATTATTTTTCTATTGTGTCATATCGTCTCAAATTGACATTAATATACTTATTGCGTCATATGCCTCATTAAAACATGAATAGGCTTCACAAATAAATTCTCATTTAAGTACTCTATATACCATTTCAAAGAGTGAAGACATCTCTAGAATTCTATATACTTCAGCTATATTTCAGATTGACAAATACGAAACTATAAACACTATTTTAGGGAGCAGTATAAAAAAATATGTGGAATATTTTTGTTTGAACTTTAATAAGTCCGATCATAACTCAAATATGAAGGAAATTGAAATAGAATATGCAAGTAGACTATGTGAATAGCCGGATGACATACTATACCCTATTGAATCAGGTTCTACCTGTATCCAACAAGATTTAGATTCTTATATAGGGAGTCTGTTTAAAAAAAATGTGAAATCCGTAGTTTTTTTTTAAATTTCAGTTGTTTCCCATGGTGCACAAGAGGCTCAATTTTTTTTATTAAAGATAGAGAGGCATGTTCACATTCCCAATCCGTACATGGATAAGGTTAGTGAAAATCTTCGTTAAATATCACTATTGACCTCAACAAGGAAATTTTTCTTTTTCATACGTAGGAAAAAAACAATATATAGGCTAGTACAGAAGTTACTTTATCGAAAAGAAAATTGAATATCTTCATTATAGTTCGAGCAAACCAGCTGATTTGTTTTTTTTTACCAAGGATAGAGGCATGTTCACACTCCATATTCATACGAACAAGGTTAGTGAGAACCTTTGTTAAGTATATTGTTTTTTTTCCTATTTGTGAAAAAGAAAAATTTTCTTGTTGAGGTCAATAGTAATATTTAACAAAGGTTTTCACTAGCCTTGTCCGTATGGATTGGGAATGTGAATATGTCTTTATCTTTGGTAAAAAAAATGAACCCGTTTAATCGAGCCATAATGGAAATATTCAAATTTTTCTTTGTGGAGTTATATATTGAACACCCTATATAACAGCTCCTTGACTCTCCAATTGAAAAACAATAAACAGCTTCAATAGGTTGAAAATAATGCTAAAGATAAATTTCAAAAATTCACTGAACAAAACCATCTGACACACATTTCCATTTCATATATAACAGTTTCGATAAAATCAGTTGAAAAATGAAAATATTTCTCTATATAGAAAATAATCAATTAGTAAACATGATCAATGATTGTTTATTTTTTATGTTTGAAAACAAGTAAAGATTACCGCCAAGTTAAATAGATATTACTTTAATGAATCATAATGATACTGTTAATAATTATCTTACTAGCTATTCGATTTTCTGATATTGGTGAGCTAAGGTTTTTTTTCTGGTTTTAAATAATGCTCTCTATTAATATATAGACACTTGTCCAATATTTTGTCAATGTTATTCTGCATTTGATGGTAAAAGCTCAATTTCTTTTTTTTTTGTTTTTTATTCTAATAAAATTTTTCAAGGTTATCATGTAACATGTCAAAATGCAAAACTTTATGAAATTCCATATAATTTAACAAAATTTCTTCAAACAACAGAACATCAAAATTTAATTGTTGATTTAAGTTCAAATTTTCTTTCTATAATACCATGTAATTTTTTTCAAATATCAACAATAATAACATTAATATTAACTAAAAATTATATTGAATATATACCATGGTGTTTTTCTCAATCATCAATACAAATTCTTCGATTAAATCAAAATCAACTTCAATTTAATCAAACAACTATTTTAACAAGTTCAAAATTATATTATCTTGATATTTCACATAATAAAATATCTTCTTTACCAAGAACATTTTTTAATTATATTCGACGTCTTCGTATATTAATATTAAATAATCAATCGAATTTATTTGAAATAAATAATGATCAATGGATACGTTCATTAACAACAAGAAATCAATTAACAATTATAATATGTGATGAAAATTTTCATTTACCATTATGTTTATTTAATCATTTATTTCAATCAAATAAATTATTATCAATTGAATTAAATTCTAATATATATTGTGATTGTTCTTTTGTTTATTTACCATTAGAAAAAATTCATTTTCATTATTGTCAAATTCAACATCAACAACAAGAAGGAAAATGTAATCTTCATTCATCTTATTTTAAACATGTTCATTCATTAATTGATTTACAAAATGATAAATATCATCAAATATGTTCGAAAGAATATCAACTTTGTCAAAATATACAATTAAATAAAAATAATCAATTAACAACAACTAATTTTAATTTATCTTTAAATAATAATTATATTGAATCAATATCAAATTCATCAATAATAACAACGTCTATTATTACAGTAACAATATCAAAGAAAGAAAATGTAACCACAGGTGTTATTATTCCTTTTATACTTCTTTTAATTATTGTGACAATAGTCTGTCTTTATGTTATTGTATCTGGATGTTTTATTAAAATGAAGAATCGAGAACCAATTACAGATTTTATTATCAGACAAAAAAAACAACAAAATATGAAAAATATTGCTTCAAGCGGTATGCAGAATTTTCATTAGTTAGAGAAAAAAAAATGACTCCTCTCTCTAACGAAATCACTTTAATTATTAGTAAAATAGTATTGGAAATTTGTTGTAGTTATCTATCGTTCAGATTAGTAGTCACATTCAAGATTATTCAGCCATCATGTTACTATAACTAATTAATCAAAATATCTTTTTTTGTCATTCTAGACGGTTTCTAATTTACATAACCTTCAAAATATTTTTCTTTTATTTTTATTTTTTTCTTTATCATTATTCTTAGTAAATTCTGATAAAAATCCAACACGATTTGATGAATGTATTTCAATTGAAAATGTTAATGTGAATTCAAATCCACAAAAAAATTCATTTCAATCATATTATCAACAAAGTAATTCATATTCAGATGAAGAATCTGAATGTACATTTTATAGTATGAACAATAATAAAAATTCTTCAACATCATTTATACAATCTTCAATGTCTGAAATTGATATAGCATCATTAACATCAACAATAAATTCTTCATTATCTAATGAAACTGTTATTATTTCTAATCGAAATCAAAAAAGAATATATTGATAAGAAGAAACAAACGAATATTTTATTTATTCTACATTTTATAAGCACAAAAAAAAAAGAGAGATATCTTTATCAATCTGACACACACACACACACATATATATATATATATAAATGTCCGTATTCATGAGATACATTCACACAAAATTGAGCTTGACAGTATAAAAAAAAAAAGAAGATTCACTAACGAACATAACAACAACAACAAGAGATAAGAAAATCGATGTAAAAAAAAAAACGAAACTCGTCAAATCTTTAAGCATAAAATTCCTGTGGTGATTTTGAATAACCATATTGATTTGGATAAAGTAAACCTGTTGTATATGATGAATGAGATTTTTCACGTTTATGATAACGTTGAATAATACAAATAAGAAGAATAACTGAGGTAAAAATACCAATAGCTAAACCTATAATAAATTCAAATAGCAAAAAAAAAATAACATTTTTTTAAAAATCTTATTAGTTACTTACCAGCAAGAATACCAGCTGCAATAGGTGGACGTGTTAGAAATTTAAAAAGTATCCAAATAGGTGCTGTATGATTAACAACTAATGATTGCCGAGTTGTTGGTGTTAAATATCGTGTTGTTGAATATGTTGTTGTAGATATTTTATTTGTTACTGTAAATTCATTATAATAAGCATCATCTTCAAGATCATCAGCATATTCTTCATTATCATCTTTAAATTCACTTGCATCTAAATCACTAAATGTTGATAATGTTGTTGTACTAATAGTTCGATTTTTTTCATTTCGTTGTTCATAATTAAATGTAGTTTTCATCCATGGTGTTAATAATATTGTAGTTGTTGTTGTAGTTTTAATTCCAGTTGATTTTGTTGTTGTTGTCGTCATTGTTGTTGTAGAAATTGTACTAGTACTACTACTACTAATAATATTAGCAGTAATTTTAGATAATTCTTCTTCTTCATCATCATCAGCATATTCATCAAGACTTGCAGCACCTCCACTACCTTCAATAGTATTTCCTAATAATTTTTGATCATTGAGATCATAATCATAATCAAGTGGATCTTGTTTAAGTAATTTAGAATTATCAGCAATTTGACCTTTTGAACTGTTTGTTACTGCTGATTGAACAACAATGATAAGTAAAATAGATGTAACCCACAGTCGAATAAACATTATCAACTGATGGTTCAAAAAATAAAAAGAAAAAAAGAAAAAAAGAATTTTTATAAGAACTTTTGTTTTTCAAATACAAGCAAAAAGTCAGATGATAATGATCATATATAAGAAAACAAACAAACAATACAACCAATCATACATCTCAAAGGAATTGACCATTGGTCAATTATATATAAAAACGATCGATTAATTCAAATCATTTATTAATATTAATGAATAAAGTTTTTTTTTATTTTGAATCTTAAATTTTTTTTTTCTATCAATTAATATTTTTTATTGAACGTTTAAAACAAAAATGTTCAATTTGTTCAAAGTAAACACAAGATGGCGCTCATGCTAATCTGTTGATATCGACGATAGATATTATTCTATAAACTGTGACACAAGAGGGAAAGTAGAGGTTTGAAATCTCCCGCAATTAGCTTTGGAAAATAACAGCTTTTTATAAAACTTAACCGAAGAATTTAAGAGTCGAGAAGTCCAAATATTTAATCGATTTTTCTCATCAGTGAAAGCCTATTTCATGTAGTTTGCTTACCTTTCATAACATTCAGCTATTTGTTTGAAATAGGTTTTCCATGAGCAAAAAAAATCGAACTCAAGAATTTTGAAAAACCGATTAAATATTTGGATTCCCCGAGCTCGGAATCTTCCAGGCAAGTTTTATTAAAAACTATTGTTTTCCTAGTTTAATTTCAAATTTGTATGAACATCGCAGCGCCTTGTGGTAAAACTTAGTGCTCAGGGATTCGATTGACTTCCTTTATGTAACACGTGATCTTTTATAAAAACTAATGAATCAATTCATAAAAGCATAGAAGTCTATTCTATTATTGGAATTATCATAAATTTCTTTGATTTCCTTGGATACTTATTGATCTGTAGATTTGTGTGTTACTGTTGTAGAGTAGAATTCTATACAATTTCTAATCCTCGGATCGTAGATATATCTCTAATTTCTATCTATTTGCGTTTTGGATTTATTCAAGAAAAAAAAAACGGAGCACATTATATTTCTAAATGGATAATACTATGACAGTTATTTTGATGATTGTCAGATGCCTTAGTCATTATTACAACTTAATGGAGTTACTAAGTATGATATCACGAAATCGTGATCAACTCAATGAATATTAAAAAGAACATTAATCATCATTATAATGAAGTTTCCTCGAGATTGATATGTTTCTATTTTGTTTATATTCTACGAAAATTATATCTTTCAATGATTATCTATAAGAGTTGCGAATACCTATGGTTGATTGTTGTCTACTAAATACAAGATGTTTTATAATTAAAACCAAGTTAACAATAGATATCCGCAGCTTTTATAGATACACATTTTTTGATATGCATTATAATTTCAATTATATTGATGTATTGATAGAGGATTAAAAAAAAAGAAGAATGGTAAATCCAAGAGAATCATATTAGCAGTAATAGCATCTTCGAACAATCAAAACGACGGTAATAATGATTGCATGATAGACAATGAGCATCCCATAGATTACACTAATTTGATTCAATCTCTCAATCAAGTGATAAAAAAAAAGAAATAAATTATATAATGTGGAATTTAATTTTCGTACATTTTTTCAAAATTATATAAAAAGATTTCGTCGGTTAAATCAAGATAATTTATTAAATATTTAAAAAAATATATATATATAGAAATATTACAAATATTCATAACAAAATATATCTAAGATATTTAGTTTTCATTATAAAACTAATACGAAGATTAGAATATTACTTTGTTCAATGGAATGAAATCTTCATCACCAATATTTTTTAAAATAATACTTCCATGACTCTTAAAATAGTTATTTGTGTCATCGAACGATGATTTAATATTAAACTCAACTAGAATTCAACAAGAAATTGCATTATTATATGTTCGATGAAAATAAGTTGTAAATATTTCGTTGTTATTTTACATCACTGTTTGTTATGCAGTACCAGCATAAGGAAGAAGTACTATAGATAAACCTTCAATAAGATTTTTATTTTCAATTCATTTTAACCTGTTGATTTAACTTTTTATTAATTACTGTAGCACTTTGTAATGTATAGATCACACCCGAGTGAATAAAAAAACAATTAAATTTAATAATAATTTCATTTAAATCTCTTCCAATATATGTTAACTGGTTTTTTTTTACCTTTGAGCATTTCCAGAATATTCTCCAAGCTAAATTAAATAAAGATTATGACACTAATTATTTTTTTTTTCTTTTAAACAATATAAAGTTATTCCATATTGATTCATTTTTATTTGTATAAATATCTTTCTTTGATAATCAAATTTCAATTGACATAGACAAAAATTTTTTTTTTCCAACACATTATTCGAATGATCATTGAGGATTATTAAAAAACTATCTGTACACAATCCAGTAAAAAAAAACCGCTGTATCAGATGACATGCATTTATTAAAATTAATGGTTGATATTAACTATTGTTATTCTTTAATATTACATACATTATAAAAACATTTAAAATACAAAAATGTCATGCAAATAATAGACTCGTGTTGGAAAGGAAAAAACGAATCAGATTCGAATTCTTGTCTTTTTTTTGTAAAAATGTCGTTTTTAATAAACAGATATAGAAGTTAGTTGAGAGCGTTTTTACTAAAAAGTATTAGAATAATGATTTATATAGAGATATAATTTTTTCTTCAACGTGAAAGTGTTTCAACGGCCAAGCGCAGTTCATTTTTGAAAAGCAAGTAAGTCTTCTCTTCTGGCTAATACTGTTATATTGAGTTCTGACCAAAATATTCAATTGATAAGACTTACAACTTTTATATATTTACTGTAAAAAGAGTTTTTCACTGAAATTAGATAAAAGTCATGTTGTAATCTGTAAAGTTCATAATTCGGCTCAAATTCAATAAGAAAAGAAGAAATCTTTTGAAGATTGTGTTAGTCTAGCAGTCTGCAACTAATTAATAAAATATAAACTCATAATATGTTAATAACTTGAATGGTTTGATTTAGATGCTTCTAGAAAATGACTTGAATCTCCAATATTTCAGGTACAAATCAGTAAACTTTTTCAATCAAAGTTATTTTTCGCCCATTCCATGTTTAATCAAATGCAAAAAAAAACACTAGTTCGAAAAAAAAAAGCTGTGAGGTATTCACGGCTTTTTCCTGTATTTGTTATGAGGCAGATAAACCTTAAACGTGTAGGGCAAAAGTTGTCATACACTCAAAATTCTCAGATGCTTTCCCGTAGGAGAGATTGATGTTACAATAGCAAAAAATGGCGCCCCTTTTCTCAACTGAAATACGTCTGATAGAAATAGAAAGTTATTTTTTTACAGATAGTAAGCATTGCTTGTAAAGCCTGACAAAAACTAGCAGTACATTATATTCTAAAGCCAAAAAAATTAGGCACTCTAAACATTTTCTAGTATAAGTAGAGGGAAGTTTTAGTTCGATTGGATGTACTACGATTGAGACACATAAGTGATTCTCCATATTTTCGGTTTTGTTACTAATATATTAATTTCTGAAATATGTTCATTAGACAGAAAATACTTCGAAGTGTATATAGAACAGAAAAAAAGTCAAATATCTAAAAATTTTCGATCTGGAAAGAAAGAGTTCTCTTACACAGTCATGGAATATTAACGTTCTTTATGAAATAACTAACTTAGTACCTCAAATTATCCTATGCTAACAAATCTAAACTTTTATTTGAAACAAAAAATAATTATTTTCAAAAATTCACATCATCAACAAAACCTACTACAAGCAATCTTGTCAACAGTGAAAGCTCTGACAAATAGCAAACACATTGATTGTAGCGCCATACATCATCAGATTGGTTAATAAAAAGAAAACAATCTGCCTAAATCAAGATCATTATTATGCATAACTTTCCTATATAAATATATATATATATTTTTTTCTTTTATTAGTTGTTCCATTAAAACTTCATGTCTGAAACAAATGAAAATGTTTCACATGAAGGAAAATCTTCAACATCATCTTCTGATTTTCTTCATGAGTATTTACAAAAAACAAATTTATCAACAACAGCAAGTCTCAATCAATTTATAAAAGATCATCATATTTCACGTGATGAAAATGAAACTGATGAAGCATTTACAAAACGTGTTAAAAAAATTAATTATTTAAATTTAGCACAACAATTAATTCGTAGTAGTAGTCAAAATACAAATACACGTCAGATCATTAAACCTGAATTAAAATCATTAAATCATGTTAGAATATATATATTTTTTTACAATTAACATTCAATCAAATAAAAAACAAAACAAAAAATTTTTTTTTTCTGTCGTTTAGGAATCTTCACCGAAGCTTGCAGCACCTCTCAAACGAATGAAACCTGTTTTTTCACCAGCTGAAGATCCAGATTTTGATGATGAATTTGAAATAGATGATAATAATTCTCGAGATATTTATGATGAATCATCATCATCATCAAATGAAGATGATGATGATGATGATGACGACATTCATCTTCAACAACCTCGTTCAGTACCATTTAAAACTAATCATACATTTGCAAATGATATTAAACAAAAATTATCAAATCTTGCTGCTGATGTTGTACGTACATTTGGTACTTCAAATATGATAGGAGATGATGATTTAACTAAACCTTTACCAACAAATATATCATTTTCATCACGATTATTTTCTAATCGAATAAAAGAAACAAATAAGTAATTAAACAAAAATAAAAATTTTTTTTTCAAAACAAAAAAAAAAATTCTTTGTTTATAGCCAAAATAATTCATTAAATAATGATAATTATTCAATGCAAGAATTACCTTCTCAAATAAATAATAATCCTGATATTATTCCAGATAATAATAATGATGATGATGATGCAGATTTATTATATACAAACGAAAGTTTATTACCACAAGTTGATTGGGAAAATCTTGAAAAACAACTTAAACAAGCACAAATTGAACGAGAACGATATGATAAGGTATTTAATTTAAATAGTATTAATCAAATCTTATTAAGTCTTTAAATACGAAAAAATGATCAAGCTTATTAGAAAAAAGGAAATAACACAATTTCCGTATTCTGCTTAAGGACACTTCAACCGTTTCGTGACTATAAATATTTGTTTTTTCTGCGTTGTCTAAAATAGTATCTCTCTAGTGAAAACATCTTGACATTCAAAAATCGTCCTAAAATGTTGAAAAATTGGAGAAAATTATATATTGTTTTGTGTTTTTCTCAAATCAATTTGTTCATGAAAAGAATTACAGAAGCATCTCCAGCCTACTACGTCCGATCAGCTGAAACTTTTTTCACATATATTAGGAACTGTTTTGCATGGGTGTTTATTTTTTTTTTCGTTTTAAAAAATACTGTTCTCTTGATCTTTAGTAGCACTTAGAAAAAAAACTGCATTCAAAAAAAACCACGCGTTTTTTAGGATACTTTCGATACAGGAATTTTTTATTTGAAGGACTGAAAATAAAAAGGGAGCTATTGCTCTATTCATCAAGGTCTATCTGTCTCGAAAATTTCAAAAGTTCCTGATGATCCATTTCCTAGAAGTTCTGAAGAAGTGGAAGAGTACTCTTAAAAATTTCAAGGTTATTGTTAAAATAGAGAAATTTGATTTAATTGTCTAAAAAAATACATTATGAAAATTAAGTATTCGTTAGACATATTTGTTTTAGCTATATATAGTCTCTTTTAGTCATTCACGCATAGAATTACTCCCATCAATTTCATGATTGTTGACACTATTCTATATTTACAATTAGAAAATAGACGAAACTTTTATTTTTTGTTTTATTTGTCTATATATTATTTTTTATTAACGAGAAACAAAAAACTCAATCATAATAATAAATCGATGATTGATAGACAAAATTATTTATTCTGAAGTCTTTTTAAGTTTCTAGAATAAATAAATAAATAATCGAATAGTAACTCGCATCAAGAATAAAATCTATTCTAATAGATATGAAGTATACTTGAATAAAAAGAGCTTAAAGAAAAATGAAGAGAAAACGGAAAAGAAGTATAGTATTTATTTTTCTATATTTAACATATCATATGATAAATCTTTACCAGAAATAGAAGATCTCGACTTTTCTATTATACTCAAACATGCAAAGCTTTCAGGGATAGCTAAATACACTGATTAAAGTTCTAATTTTTCGAAAAATTAATTAATTAATTAAGAGAGGAAAGTTTTCTATTACATTCGGTACAGCATTTCTTCTATTGTGAGAACGAGTTTATTTCTTATAATACATTGGACATTTTCAAGTTATAACACCCAAAGCGATTCTATTCAATAATAATAATAATAATGAAGTTTTCATTATCAATAAAAGTCTTATTGCATGTATGTAAAACGTGTCAATCGGTGTATGTTCTCATTTGTTTTAGCTTAAAAAAAACATATACATGCAATGTTATATATAGAATAGAAAAAGAAAGAGTTAGTTGGAATATAAATTTCATAATCAATTCTTTTCCTGTTCTCACTGTTTCTCGTTAAAACAGTGTTTCTATTATTCACTGTATCTAGAATATAACGCTTTTATTCTTTTCTTTTTCTTTTCTTCGTTATTCATTTTACAATTAGAAGTCTACGATTTTTATGTAAAGAAAAACTAAAAATAAAAAAAGAGGAAAGCTTATTCCACAATGGATTTATATATTTATTATTTGCATAATAATAAAATAAAATTTGAGTATAGTTTAGATAATATCCGTTCGGATTTAAAAGTAAGTAAACCAATTAACATGTAATTATTCTTTTTTTTTTATTTTTTGAAAAATAATAAATCAAATAAAAATCTCTAGATAATCAAAAAACAGTTCGAAGTTATGGAAAGAAATATTCTTACAAATATTAATTTCATCGTACAAGAATACTTACATCTAGTATTGTTATTAATATGTCTGATTACTCTAGAGATTTGGCAGATGATTTTCTTCTATACATAGACAGTATATGTCTCGGTATTTAGGATATAAGACATGTAAATGTGTCATTTTGTGTTAAAATGACAAGATAAAAAACAGACAGTATCATACAATATATATATGTCTTTGATTATATCTATTGACAAATAATAAAAAAGCCACTGTTGTTCTTTTCATTATTGAATCGAATTTTTTTTTTATCGTTTTCTTGTGCTTGAAAATACTATAACAATAATAACAATGATAATATTACAATGAAACAAAAAAAAAAGAAGAAAAAAAGATTCCTTTTTCCTTTTCTCTTCCGTTCTCAATTTCCGGAAAAGAATTCCGATTCATAAAAAACACACGAAATAAGAACGACTTACTTGTACTATTGCTTGACAAAGAATTCTATAGACAAAAATCATGGTACACTGGAAGTGGCATGAATGTTTGCATGTAAGCGATATAGGAAGGTCACTTTTCTTTTTTTATGTCTCATGCTGTTCAATATAATCAAAAACATGTGACTTAAGATTTCTTTTTTTTTTGTTTTCATTACAGGCTCGATTAAATGATCGTGATGAAATTCGACGTAAGTTAGCAGCAGGGAATGAATCCGAAGGTGAGAATGAAGATTATTATACATCCGATTACATAAAAAAGACAATGGTCACAACATCACATCGACGTCGACAAGGTAAGAATATAAAAGAAAAAACAAAACAAAACAAAACAAAAGCAGACATTATGATGTGTCAATCAGCACCTTTGATACATTTTTCTTAATGAAGCCGATGTCATCAATCATGATTAGTCTTTATATAGAGAGTGAATGACACTTAGTAAGGCGGTAGATAGACATATTTATAAAAGAAACCAGAAGGGAACATTTGTCCCGAGTATGTTTCCCACTGTTTTTGTTCGTCAGTAAATAGATGGGAAAATAAGAATCTATTTATTCGTCCCCAATAATTGCTATTTCCAATGGCATATAATATACATGAAGAGATTTATGGTATTTCAGGTTCAAATCTACAAATATGTTTTGTTAATGAACATCATCAAGCAAATGAATCATTTGATAATGATGCGGTAAGAAAATTCTTTATCTTATATGAATTAAATGTAAATTGGATTTTTGTTTTTTACTTTAAGACTTCAACAACTCTATCTACACCATCAAAAAATTTAAAATCTGATGAAATAAATTCATCTACGATAGGAAATAATGATGAAGATATTCTTACAAAACAACAAAGATTAAAAGTAAAATTTAATTTTTTTTATTTTATTTTAATAATTTTTTTTGTTTTTATCTTTTTTTCTTCTTAAGGAAGAAGCTAGAGTTGCTCTTGTACTTGGTGCAAAAATGGCACGAATGCAAGTACAAATTGAACGACGAGCCTTAAAAAAGAAAAAATCACCACTTTATGACATTGTATGTAGATGATAAGAAATTTTTTAGATTAGTTTTCTTTTTTTTTTTATTTTTATTAAAGATTGGTATTAATACAAATGATGATAAACCATTAACTGTTCGAATGCTTGAAGATATGAATATTGGTCAATTACAAGTTCTTGTTAATGATTTACATTGTCAGATTGAAGGTATTTTCGATCTTTTTTTTTATTGTTCGTTATAAAAATAATAATAAAACTATTATGTTGTTTATGTATTGAAGCTCATAATGAAGAATTAGTCAGTCTTTTAATGGAAAGAGATTCGTTAAGTATGGAACAAGATTCAGTTCTTGTTGATATTGAAGATTTAACAAAGTAAGAATTTAAATTTTAATGATTTAATCTCCTTTTTTTTTCTTTTAAATTCTAGACGTTTACAAGAACGTGCTGCTAGTTTCTCATCAGAATCAAAACGAACATCAACAAATGGAGCAGCACAACGTGTTTATATTGTAAAATCACCAACAACACAACAACAAGATGTACAGAAAAAATCTATTCTTCATAATCTTTTACGTAAAGCTACGTTTACATAAATTATTATTCATGATATCGCCGGTTTGCCTTTTTTTTTTATTAATTTAATGAAATGAATGTGCATGTGTGTGTATGTTTATTACACTTCTTCGTAAATTTATAGCCTTAAGCTTAGAATTTCTTTTTTTATGACCTGTTGATTCGAATTTTTTTTTTTGGATGATAAAATAAATGTTTTGCAGTTTGAAGAATGCTTCAACAGATTCCACTTGAAATGATCATAAGTATAACTATTGGTATGAACTGAAATCTTGTGAGATTTATAGTAAAAATTGTGACAATTGATATAAATCTAAATGAACCACTAGCGCCGTCAACGTTCAAGCGATAATGTGTATGCAATTGAACGATGGTAAAATTCATAGGAAAGATAAACAAAATTGATTCAAAAACATTTATTAGTAAATCTAGAATTATATGAATGTTCAAGCAATCAGTTGGTTATGAGAACTGACCATATACAAGATACCACTGTTTTCCACAGAATGATTGATCATTTTACTTACTATGTTAATATTAAATAAATAATAAAAAAAAATCAAAGAATTTCTTTTGCATAGTGAGTATGAATAGTATCGGCCAAGGAATATTATGAAATATTTTATTTACCGATGAAAATTGGTTTATATTAAATGGGATAAAATTCTTTTTTTTTTTAATTTTTGGAATCACTCAAATACACTTTCAAATAGTCATTCAATAGAAAACTTTTCGCTCGACGAAATTGTTATGTTTGTTTTTCAAGTAAGTTTTTGTTGTTGAAGTAAAATTTCAAATATTAACATTTACTAAATCATTCAACTGCGATGGTCAAAACAAAAAGATGAAAAACTGACGCGTCATTTGATATGCGATTTAGAAGAAATAATTGCGGGAAAAATCTTGTCTGACAGAATTATATGAGTATTCTTTTTTAATTCGATACTGTCTAATCGCCTTTTACTCTCCAACTTAGTAGTCACATCATTTTGATCAGAATTAAATTCTAAATTCGATAGCGCAAGATTGATTATTTCATACATCAATTCTCGTTTTGGAAAAAAAATTCGTAAAAGCAGAAAGGGAAAAATTCTCTATTGATAGAGTTCCTGAAAGTATATCGGAGTGACTCAGGAGAAGTAAATGATTTGTTCCAAAAGTTTACTCCTTTTTGTAATATAAAATAGATAGATGTTAAGAAAACCTATTAGATAAAGATATTATTATTTTGAAAACGTTTCATCATAACTGGAGACAAACAATAAATTCATCAAATATGAAATCTATGCTAGAACAGTATACTCTCAATACTAGATACTCTTAGGTTGAAATTTGGTGTCAACATAGAGCTATTCGTATACTTATTACGGAAAAAAAACTTCGATCTAAAAAGAATGTTTTTTTAAATCGGTTCCATGAAGAGTATAAGTATTATAAAATAGGTTTAAAATTGCTAAAGAAATCATTTAGACGTGTTCGTACTTACAGCCGAGAAATCGTTCCTTATTGCGGATGAGATGTAAGTTGGAAAGAGAAGATAAACATACTCTTATTAGTATTGTGTCAAATAATGAAGATGACTAAGTTCTTGTACAATAAACAATCGATGAAGTTAATTTAATATCTTTCTGTTTTTTGTTTTAGAAAGACACTGTTTTACCAATATAGATAAGATAATCTTGATAAATAGAACTGCATGCTGTTTTACTTTTTGACGAAAGATTGAGATGTATTGTTTAGAGAGCTGTTGAGACTCAAATAGAAAAAAAGATGCACTAAAATGAAAATGGATTTTTCTAGATTTGTAACTTATATAAAAATAGTCAAATCTAAACAAGTAATCTATACTCATAACCGATGTAGATGACGACAGCTGGACTAAAAGAGTTCAATGAATCAGTTTTTGTAATAAAAAAAAAAGAAGTTTCAATTAAAAAAATTTCCAATTGATAAACTTGTATTTGGTTCTCATATCTTAACTCAAAAACTTATTAGAATGAAGTTTCAAACCAATTTCACTATGTATATTTGAAAAATCTCTTTCTCTGTTTCTTTCTACAAGAAATTATTGATTGAAATTTTGATCACGCACGTATAAACTAAGAAATTTTGAAATCTTTTATAAAACAGAAAAAAAAGACAGTAAATAATCAACTATACTTTTTATAAAGTATAAAATTTACTAATTCGACTTTTCGCCTTTTAAAATTTAAAAAGAAAAACAATGATAAATTCATAGTTTAAATTTACGTTTCCCTTTTATTTCTTTATTCAATTTCGATTTATTTGTACTACGCAGAATAACAAAAATAAATGAATGAATATCAAAAAAATTATATCTTCAAAAGATTTTTTACTTGTTTTCCTATTACAATTCCCTACCAC